ACCCATCTTCATTTTCCCCATAGTACAGACAGGGTGGAGAGTTAGGTTGGGTCCCATTGAAAAGCTGCTGGGCTACTCAGCACATTATCTTTCACCTTTCCTTTTTTTGTTTGTTTTAAATACATGTCTGATTTGGTTGTTCAGATGGTAGGACATCTGGTACAGTTTTCAGGCCCTGCTTTAATTTAATGATCTAACATCTAGTACACAGGCTTGTTTTACCATAGGAATTTTTTTACCTCCCACACTTTTCTTTCTAATTGCAACTATGTAAATCATAGGCTGTCAGTGCTATATAAATCATCTATAGTATGTCTGCTATTCATTTAAATAACAAATTGGAACTTTTTATTTCTAACTGTTACATCCTGGTCATAATAAGTTGCACAAATATGATAAATGTGGAGGCTTGCTGTGTTCTATTAACTTAGTTTATGAGGCATATAAAGAGGGCCTAACAAGACAGGCTTCAGTAAGTAATCCTCCCATTGTTGCTGTAAGAGGAGCGCTGGGTTGTGTACTGCAAGATCTCAAGTCAGTTAAGGCATAAGCTTGAGACATATTTGCATAGCAGCCCTAGGATAAGTTCCATACACAATGTTCCCTGAGTTCAGTTGCTGAATATCAGATAATGGAAGACATGAAATTAATTAGAAAAGAAAGTGACCCAGCTCCATTCCCAATTGTGCCACTGACTTGTCATGTGCAAGCCACTCCCCATCCCTGAGCTCCAGCTCTCTCTGCTTTGTCTGAGTGGTCTATCTGAGAACAAATTCCTTCCTCTGGAGGAGAGGCATGCTGTGGGCACACAGTGCTGAAAAGCAGTAGACACACAATTGCAAACACAGCCAGCAGGTACTCTGGTGTACCCCAGACACTTTGCTGTCATAGCATAAATAATAATAATTGTATCAATAGGACTTAATCAAAAAAAATCACAATAAATTTATTGCTGTCACCTGATCTCATGTATTTGAAATATCAGAACATCCAATATCAAGAAGAAAATAAAACAATTCTTTTCATATAGCAATTATTATTTTAAATGCTACTTCATCTCTGCACTTGAATTCTTGGTGTTCTTTTGACTAGGATCTGATGATTTGAAAAGTGTCTAATAAAGCTTTAGGATTTTTTTCATTTGTAAGAAACAACAGTATACGGTAGACCACACTACCTTTAACAAGGGAATATAGTCATAGACGTATGACTTAATAGAAGTCCTAACCATCCATTTCTTTGCTAATTCTTCCTTCAGGATTTTTTAAGCTTGTAGAGTTACTTTTAAAACTAAAAGTTGAGTTGATCCTTATGTGGGAAATAAGGAAGGTCCTGATGCGGGAAATGAAGCCCACTCAGTGAGTCCTCAGCCTCATCACCACTGTTCCTTACTCAGCTTTTCTGCTCCATCTTCTAGAAAACCTAAGAAGAAAAAAGGACACTTGCTCCAGCTCTGCATATGTTCATCCACACTTTCTAGCTGTTAGCCTGGCTGTGGGCTGTTTTGATTTGTGCCAAACAGTTTTCTTCTAACCCATGGACTTGATTCATGGGTTAGCAGGGGTCAGAAAACTTCCCCCATGGGCAGTGTGGATGTGGCTGCCCTGTCTGAAGGCAAGGAAAGCCAAGTTGGGCCAGCATCCCTCTGGACAGAGCCAGCTGTGGGTATCCTCCCTGCAATGGCTATCCACACAGCTGCAAGAGGACAGCTAAACAAATGCCTAAAGGGCAAGATTAAGCATGCCTGTTCCCCAGATTTTGTCCTTTCTATCCACACTGCTAGCTGTGTCCTCCCCATGTTTCAAAGTAGCTATGCTTAGGATACCTGCACTGAGCACTCAGCACTGTGTTGACTGGACAAAAGATGTCAAGTAGCAACTTTCTGACCAAGAAGTGCTTCAGATCCTAAACTCGCCCTCAGGCTGGAAGCCGAGGAAATGATGCAGTGCTCATAAGAAGTAGGTTTTACTCTTAATGGATTCCTTCATTTACATGTACTGAAAACAAGCAACTTGTGTGGATATAATTTTAGACTGCAGGAGAAACTGAGCATGACACCCAACGAGGCATTTAGAATAAGCGAATAGTGTCATATAATATCAAGCCGATTGCTAAAAAAGGAGACAGCTCTTGGGTCAGCCTACTAAGTCATCTTCAGGCTAAAGGAGTCCCAAAAAGGATCAGAAATTTTTCTAGGGACTACACTAGACTCTTTCAATTTGCTACCAAAGCTTTGTGTGCTTGGATCTTATTATGCAGGGAATTGACACTTGGAGCAACATGAGTGGGAAAAGAAGTGGTTACAGTAACTTCCATCCTGGCATTTCCAGGTGGCTCAGGAAGAGCTTTCTTTAGCTGAGGGAAAGGATTCAGAGCCTCTGATTCCTGCACAGGCAAACTTTTCAGCACAAAAGACATGATGAATACTCCAGTTTTACACACAGCATCTCCCACTTTCTCCTATGGCACCTGAGCAGCTCTGTGTGTGCCGAAGCAGAAAGACCAGCCCAGATAGTGCAACCAGCCTTTGTCTGGGGGAATATACACATCATCTACCATGCCAGCTCACTTCGGCTAAGGGGAGGCAGAATGATGTAAACCTCCTATCAGACAGCTGAGCAGAGCACACAAGCAGTTTCTACTTCCCTCCCAAAATTCAGACCCCAAAGGATGAGACACAAAACACATTTCTTCTTTCTTCTCTCCGTCTGCCTTCCACACTGCTGCCCAGCCCGCTGTGGGCAGTGCCGGGTGTGTCCCTGCTGCCCACCCTCTCTCTCTGTTCTGGCACAGCTTTCCCACGCATTTTCCGGGGGAAGAAGGGGTTAAGGTGGGCAGGTGGCTCTGCTTTTACCTGCTCTGGTCCCAGTTGGCAGCAAAAAGGACGAGGATCTTCCTGCCGTAGTGGTCCAGGTTTGCCAGCCCACCAGGGAAACCATCCTTCAGCGCTTGCTTTATGCCCGGGTCTGTGGCCTTGAAGCTCTTGAACATGTCCAGGTTCTGCTGGCGATATTCAAAGTACTGGGCCAGGAGGCGAAACGCCTCG